AAGCTAGGCCTCTGCTTCTACCTGAATTAGTACAAAATTAAGACATTATCTTGTAAGAACTAAAAGTGTATTTGACAATTTTATTTTAGGCTGCAAAAACAAAAACAAGCAAACAAACAACCGACAACAAAAAACTTGAAATAGGCTTGACAAAAGATGTAAATTCATCCTTTCCAGGGAAGCAGAAGGCAGACCCTACCACAAAGAAAAGATACTTAGTTAATGGAGGTTAAATTTAAAAGTACAGTTAAATAATATCAGGCTAACTTTTGGAAAGCCTAGGTTTTATTCACCTCCCTGTGGTTCCAATAACTGTATTATGAGTTAAGTTTCTTTATAGTTAACTATGTCACCTAAAACATAAAAATCCAGTAACAATCTAACAGTTATTGGGTATAGTCTTACTGGAAATTCTTAACCATATAGTTGATTCACCATTTTTTTTTTTAATGATGAATTGCCTTAGTTTATGTCACTGCATTTCTATAACAAAGTAATTAAAGGCACGGCTAATGCAAGCGGACTTAACCCCATTCAACTAACAGCTGAAGAAATACTTTGGTTCTTCAAGGAAAAAATTGGGGGAAAAAATGTGTTTCATTTAACAGTTATTAATTTTAACAGCTGCACTCCAATAGCTACATGATGAAAATATTCCAGAAGAACCAAACTAGTAGCAATGAATGAACATGCGTGAAATAATTTGTGCCTTCAACATACCCGTCAAAAAAATCATAGTTAAAATGCTAGGTAGAACAAATTGGTCTTTAAAATATCAGTTCCTGTTCTTTAAAAAAAATTACTGAGTCTACCAAGAAAATACAAAAACATAAGGCTGTAAGTAAATAATAGTTGTGTTTAGGCTATTACAGTGCAGATTATCCTCAAGGCCACATACATCCTGCTTCACTGCTGCTTGCACTCTGCTGGGTTTTGATCCTTCTGTTAAAGGAAAACAACAAGTCAATCTATCTTCTTCTACCTGCTTCAGTGAATTTTTCAATAGTAGTTAACTACCTTAATTATCACAGTATCTCAATGTTTTGTCAAAGATTTCATCAAATTAAAGAAATGGTATAGGACATAGACAAGGATGGCAAAGTATTTATTCACATATTAGCAAGTCACTGAAATCCTAAAGTCCAAATTTTACATTGTTAAATTAACTCCATAAAATGACACAGTATTCCATAATCAATCAATTAAAATCAAGCAATTTGTGTTAGTCATATTATCAGTTTTGCCTTTTTATAGATCAATTATTCAAAGATACTAATTCTATTCATATTTAGCTATTAAGAGTAATTCACACCTACTAGAATATATGTTTTTATTAAATTACCCTTTCCTATTTGCTGAGTTAAATCATCATCTGAATATTTTATAGCATTAAGCAAATGAATGAATGCACTAAAGAGAAAACCGATGTTTCAAATGAATAATGATGACATACTACATACTTTGTGGAAGATAAAGACCTCTACTAACCCTGATATGACAAATTCCCAGGAATAATACACTGCGACTCTAAAGGACTGAGGAATAGAGGTGGCTGAAAGAATTTAACAGCACTGCTCCCCAGTTCCCAAACCCTCCTGGCATTCAGATCTTTTAAAAACTGACATTTGTTTATAAGCTTTCCTTTGGAGGAAAAACAGACTAAGAACCCAACCAATAAACTTTTTTTAATGCTTAAAAACTGTTAAAAAAAAA